GGGGGGGGCGGGGTCAGGCTTCCTGATGGAATTCTCGGATGGTTGGAAGGACGAGCAGGTGCTTTGTCTTGGGGAAAAAATCCTCAATGCAGCTTTACTGGCCATTTCTCCCCAATGCTGCTTCACCTTTCTTAAAACCTCATCACTGTAAGCCCCTCTGGTCATCGTGCGTCCTTCAAAGTAAATGTATTCAGATGAGCCCCGTGGCATCCCTGAAGATGACTGCCCCACCTTCTGAGCTGATCTCTCTGCCTCAGGTGTGGCTGGCCCAGCAGATCACTCTTCTGAAGCTGAGGTCCCCATGGCCAGCACCCAACTGAGGCTATGCTATGACAGGTGAGTTATTGAGCGAACGTGTTTGCTGCCTTCCGTTGCTCACAAAAAAACAAAAAACCGCCCTGACACCGAGCCCGTGCTGACTCAGGGACCAGAAAGGACAGGCGAGAACTCTTCACCGGAGCAGACGGTCTCCTTTGAACGGCTGGTGGTTTTGAACTGCTGATCTTGACGTTAGCAGTCCCATTCGTAACCACCAGGGCTCCACTTATCAGAGAGACCTGTTTAAACAAGTTTTGCTTGGAGGGAAGAAAAACAAATGCATGTGTGAGCTAGGGCCCTAGTAGGGATACGTTTCCCTTCTAAGAACAGCTGAAAGCGATCCTAGTGGATGCCCGACCCAGACACAGCCGAGAAGCAAGGACAGGTGGAACCAGGACAGGAAGGCCTCACAGAGCCCTCAGGTTTTTGACCCGGTTTCCCACACGGGTTTCACAGAGCCCTGGGATGACAGATGGGGAAAATGAGGCCCCAGAGAAGGAAAACTGCATGTTCAGATCACACAGCTAATAAACCACGGGTCTGCCGGTTGCCGGTGCGCTTCCCAGGTTCCCATGCCTGAGGGAGCACTTCAGCAGACCTTGGCAGGAAGGGGTGGAGGGAGCGCACAAACCTGCAGGTGTGGACACACAGGAGGTGTGACGTGTGTGGAAGCCTATGTACGAGAAAGACTGCCCAGTGAGGAAACGTGGCCCCGTTGCTAGCCAATGCCCAGGCAGAGGGCCAGAAGAGCCAAGGTGAAAGTCCCACTTGGGTCCTCACCATGGTATCTCCCGTGGCACTGACAAGGCCATGCTCTCAGATGCTTCTGGGGAGTCCTTGACACTAAGCTCCCCACTTCTCCGGGCAAAACCACAGCTTAGAGGAGGAGCCCCCTGCCTCCTCCTCGCAGTGACTGAGATTCCAGAACGAGGGGCCCAGACCTTTGTCTCCCTGCCCAGGAATAGCCTCGTAAATGAAACAAACGGACTTTTCTCTAGCTGTGGAAGAGTTCTTTTGAGGCTTGAAGAGCTAAAAATAGCATTTCTGTTTATTATGAGATGATCTAGACAAAGGGCAGTCGGCTGGCCCTGCAGTTCCACAAATAACCCGGAAGGTGGCGAGCTAGGGTAGCAGGAAGAAAAGCTGTGGGTGCCCTGGCGGGAGTCTGTTTATGGATCTTCCTTCTCCCTGGGTTTTGCTTGCCTGCAACCAGGAGGCCAGCCCTCCCTGAGAGACCCCACCCAGTCAGTGGACCCCACATGGCTCTCAGAAGATGTAAGGGCTGTGCGCTACTAATTTGCTGGCAGACAAGCCGAGAACAGGCAAGGACACACATCCCAGTCCTACAGACTCCTGCAAGGCAAACACAGTGATAGCTCGCTGTCAGAATGGCTCCAAGCTCCAATCCCAGACCATGGAAGAGGTTGAAAAGTTACTGTTAATTGGGGTCAATCGGAAACAACTTGATGGCAATAGTGTATCCGAGACGGTGATATGAAGCCGGAAGCGGTCAAAGTCAGCCCCAGCTCATTTGAAAACTGCAGAAAGAGAACCTGCAGGCCCGGGGCAGGGAGGCGTGCAAATAAGGACGGGCCGATGAAGTCGCGGCTGTGCGCGTGGAATATGTGGAGGCCAGGGGTTCGTTCCTTAGCAAGTGTTCAACAGAACTGGACTTTTTGGCGGGCTGGGGGAATGCCCAATAGGACCTTTATTACTAAAGGCTTTGCCAGGATAGGCTCACTCTGTGTGTATCACGTGACAGAGTGGCTCTCTCTGTTGTTGAGTGGGAATGCTGGTGGGATCTTAAAGTGAAGCCCATGTTAGTGTACCATTCCGAAAAGCATGGGTTTGTGAACAACAAAAGATAATGAAAAATAAGTTCATTTGACTTACTGTATTGTGTTTTAATAATTAATGTACTGTATTGTGTTTCCATGTTTTAGGGGGTATTTCTCCAACCTAGGGCTGTTAACTTTGTGCTAAAGTCCTGGAAAAATGAATTTATGTGTAAATATTTTGGCATCCAAACTAATTATTTGGCTTTCTATGATTTCTTATGGGGAGAAATATGTTCAGCTCTGGAACTTCTCAGGGTCCTAACAAGAATTTGGAATGAATTGAGTTTAACAATTCGCTCACTGACTCCCTGTATCAGCTCCCTATATCCGTGCAGGGGAAATGGGCCTATTGAAGCTTTGGACCAAGAAGAAAAGAGATGGAAGAGCACGCTAATGTAGACAGATTGGTATACACCATCAGCCCTGAAAAGGCTTCGGAAAGAGGAAACATTGACTGGATTTCGACAACAGAAGCAGCCCATTTCCCCTGAGCTAGCTCCAATCCCAGCCACTTTAGAATCAGAGAACAAAACATTGCCAGGCCTTCTGCCACCTTCACGATCATTTGAGTCCATTGATGTGGGCATCATGTCAATCCATGTCATCAAGGGATCCCCTGGTTTTCGCTGATCCTCGACCGGAGGAGACACGATGACCTTTGGTAGCCATTGGCCATTCCTGATGATATGTCTAAAGTAAGTGAGTCAGAGCCTTGCCATCCTGGCTTCTGTGTAGCACGGCACTTGTAAACCTTTGCTGGTGTGTGCCAAATGCCTGTCTCCATTACAGGGCTTGGGTGTGGTAGTGACCTCTCCTTTTACAGAGGAACACACACACAGCGAGTCAGGGACTCTAGAGCCTCTACTCTTCCCGCTGCCTCAGCCTGCTTCTGGGAAGACCCAGACCACAGCCATAGCCGCAATGGGGGCCAGTGGGAATGTGAATGTGGAGAGGGACCTTCAGCAAGGCCAAGGACATCCCCCGTCCCAGACAGCCCCAGGATACAGCTGGCCCACACCACAGCCCTGTGTCCAGGGAAGGACGAGGTTCGTCCCCAGGGCTACAGGACAGTCAGCAGAGGCACAGAGCCTGGTGGTTCCTTCCCAAGGCCACTCAGGGAGGTGGGGGCGGGGGTGGCTGCACCCACAACTCTTCCACCTTGTAGCCATCTCCCAGGTTCATGGGGCCTCTCAGACAGCAGCCAGGGGCAAGGGAAGTGGTGAGGCTGGGCTCGGGGCTACAGCCCAATGAGCACCTCCATTCCAGGGGAGCAGGTGGTGATCAGCCATGAGCTAAGCAGCCGGGTGGCATAGTTACTCACAGGGCTGCCAACCACAAGGTCGGCTATTGAAAACCATCAGCTGCTCCTCAGGAGAAAGACAAGGCTTTCTACTCCTGGAAAGAGTGACAGTCTTGGAAACCCTCGGGGGCAATTCTACCCTGTCCTACAGAGTCGCTATGAACCAGAATGGACTTGATGTCTGTGTGTGGAATCCATGAGCTGTTGTGATTCCGGGAGGCAAGCCAAAGAAGAGCATCGCACAGACCCTAGGACAGGGCAGTGAAAGAGTCAACAATGTTGGCACAGAGAACAAGCTCCTTTCAGGGTCCAATGTCTTTGCCTGCACTCACCTCTTGGGGCTGGGCTCCCATAGCAGGTCATACCAGCACCTAGCCATGCACTTAGTGGTATACAAGGGAAAGCTGGTTGGAACTTCCTGGGAGGGTTGGAGAGGTGACGAGATGAGACAGTGGGATTTGAGAGTGTGGTATGAAAGGAGGGTGCCTGCTCTGAGGCTAGAGTAACAGGGCGACCAGGACCAGCAGTGTATATTTGAGCCTCGGCCATGACATGGCCATGTGGCTTGCTAGCTTCCAGACCAACACTGACATTGATTCTAGTACAAACAGTGAGTTCTCCCTTACCATACTCTACCTCCAGGATCCCTGGTGGGACTGTGGATTAAGAACTGCTCATGCAAAGACTGGCAGTTCAAACCCACCAGCTGCTCCTCTAGAGAAAGATGAGGCTGTCTGTTCCCATAAACATGTACAGTCTTGGAAACCCTAAAGAGCAGTTCTGCTCTGCCCTGTAGGGTCACGGTGAGTGGAATGGGCCCCAGGGCAGTGGGTTACACTGCAGGTCCACCACCGTCTATCAGGTGATGGTACTGAGATGGCTTGCATACTGATGCCTCCTGAAAGCCAGGCCTCTGGTTATTCGAATCCCAGCACGGTCCCCATGCTGGACAGGTCTCAGCAGACCTTCCACACAAAGACACACTAGGTAGAAAGTCCTAGGATCTGCATCTGAAATCGAATCCTCAAGTACACTCTGGGGTCACCATAGAGTACAGTCCCATGGAGTGCTGGAAGACGGGCCCTTAGGTTGCAGGCCACAAGGGACCGGAAATATGGCCACGCCTAAGGATGCTGGGAGACCAGCTGGCGCTTTTGTTCCGTTGTGCACGGGGCTATGGTGAGAAGGGGCCTGAACGACTAGGCAGCATCCAATAACAACCTGTTCCAGGGAACTGCAGAGGCCCTGAGACTGAAGGGGAGGTTGGGGTGGGGCCTGCATGATGGTGTTTAGGGTCACCTTGTTCTCTTCCACCCACCTGCGCCCAGAGATCAGGTCCCCTCAGATCTCCCAGGTTCCCCCGTGTCCAGCAGCTCACCTGCCTCCATCAGCTTGGTAGCCAGGGCACGCCCTCGGCCTGCGGGGTCCGCCCAAGGCTCCACCTCCTTCTTGTGACGCGTCTGGGTCTGGGTAGCTCTGTGCTGTGTCTTCCTTTTCCTGGTGAGCCTGGCTTGCAGCTTGCCCAGGTCTATGCTGCTGTTGGCTGCCAGCAGCCCTTGGAAGTTCTCGAAGAGGCTGTGGAAGAGCCGCTGGTGCCGCTCCAAGCTGCGCTGCGTGGAGACGATGGCTCCTGGCA